AATGAGTTATGCTAATGAGTTATGCTAATGAGTTATGCTAATGAGCTCCTGCACCTCTTTTTCTACGAAATGACCCCTGCTCCCACCCAAACACTGGCCAGGGCTGACCCTGCTTAGCTTCTGAGATCTGGGTTAGCCTGGGCTATCCAGGGCCGGGCAAATGAGGAATGCCTGTTCTGTACAAGAAGAGGTCCATGGGGCGTGGGGGGGGGGAGTGAAAACGCCTCTTCTGAGATAGTACAGGAAACCCACTCCCTCTGCTGTTTGTGGAAGCGGAAAGGGTTCTTCTTAAATGGTATTATTCCCTCAACCGTGATCGAAAGGAGGAACACCTCTTCTGCGATAGTATCAGAAGAGGCATTCTGGTTGGCATGAGAGGAAGAAGAAAGGCTACTGGCCCCACACGACATGCTAACCCCCCTGGAGGAGAGATGTGGATCTTGGCCGAGTCGGACCCTAATTCCTAACCACTTCACACACATCCGTTTCCCCAGGTCTCCTCGCCACTCGTGCTCATGGGACTGGTGCTGAGCAGACGCTGATGCTGCTGCAGAGGGATCGGAACAGACGGTACCTGCTTTCTAATGGCTTCCAGATCCTGGTCCTGCACAATGTCCTCCCGCAAATGGATTCGGGCCAGCCTGGTGCTCCGCGGATCGGAAAACAGCGTGAAGAAGCTCTCGTTGTGTTCAAAGATGCTGTCAGAATTCACCAGCTCCACATACCTGTGCAAGAAACAGAGACCAAGGCACTAGGGGGCGCTGTGGCTCAGCGGCAGAGCATCCACCTGGTATGCAGACGGTCCCAGGTTCAGTTAAAAGTTCGGGCAGTGGCGATGTGAAAGACCTTTCTCTGCCTGACACCCTGGAGAGCCGCTGCCAATCTGGGCAGACAACAGTGACTTTGATGGACCAAGGGTCTGATTCAGTATAAGGCAGCTTCATGTATTCATGAGTTCCCTAATCGGATTTCAGCAGGGTGGTCAGCCAACCAAAGAAATCTTTAAAAAGGTAAAGGTTCCTTTGCTCGAAAGGCAGTCGAGTCCAACTCTAGGGTTGCGGTGCTCATCTCTGTTTCAAAGCCAAAGAGCCAGCGCTGTCTGAAGACATTTCCGTGGTCATGTGGCCGGCATAACTAAGCACCAAGGCGCACGGAACCCTGTTCCCTTCCCACCAAAGTGGTACCTATTTATCTACTTGCAATGTCTTGCTTTCGAACTGCTAGGTTGGCAGGAGCTGGAACTAGAGACGGGAGCTCACTCCGTCATGCGGCAACCTGGGTCTTGAACTGCTGAACTACCGACCTTCCACAGCCTGCAGTTCAGCGTCTTAACCCCTTGAGCCATCGCAGCTCAATCTTAGCGGAGTATTTATTTAGACATTTATACTCTGCTTTTTGCCCCAGTGGAGACCTAAAGCGGCTTGCAGCATCATTCTCCCCATTCTCCACCTGTTGCCCAGCGTCTCTGCCCATGTGGAGATCCGGTAACAGAAGATCTGTGCCATTACCTGTTATTTTGCCCACTCTATCAATCTCCTAGGAAGAAATTCCTAGACCCAAACTTGGCCTCCTTAGGTCCTAGAACAGAAACTGACAAAATTCTAGTTCTACTAGCAGACGTAGAGGCCGAGATTTCACACAAGGTGGCCCTCTTTGCCCTGGCTGCAGAGAAAATTCGGAAGAAAATAATAGCAGCACCATAGCTCGATTACCAACTGAAGTCTGGATGGGAGAGATGGGATTATTATAATGTTTTATTGTGTCCTAATTTAGTTTTTAATTCTTCTAGTTTTAGAAGTTTATACAGATGCTATTGTTACACCGTTCTGCCATTGTAACGGCCTATGGCTAAAGGCAATAAACTGAATCGCCACCCCGTTCTCCGTTTCATTTACCGTGCTGGCTGGCATATGAATTGGTCAGTTAATTAGGCAATTGATGCAAAAAGCATTCCTCCTTTCTTTTTCAGAAGATGCGTTCGGATTGTAGGCAACATCTTAACATCTCTCATTTAGGAAGGAATGCTCTTTAAAATCCCTCTTTTGAGAAGAAGCATTCCCTTTATCTATCTATACAGGAAGGAATGCTTCATTGAAGATGGCGCTTGCACAATATGTACAAAAACCGCTGATGGCATGTGCTTTTAAAAATCTGCTGCTTGATTAACTGAGTGTTAGAACATTGAAGGGTTTTTAATAAAATGCAACTAATCAATTAAATGCTTCAGCCCTATATTGCTGTGATGATCATGAACAAAATGCCTATGGCGTTTCTGTACAGGGTACTGGTGTTCAGATCTCCGGTCATCCTTCGTGCTCCTCGAGTGCTGTTCTTTGAACTAGTCACTTTCAACCTCACACGATTGTTGGGAAGACAGAATAAGGACACATATTTATTCACTCTTCCTCCTTTCATTAGGGCTATTAAAACCTCTGCATCAATAAAAATAAATGGATCCTAATCAATGTTCCCTCTAATTGTTTTCCCCTACTGAGTGGAGCAGAGGGAGGGCTTCAAGCATCCTGGCCCCACTGCTGGACCTCCTGATGGCACCTGGTATTTTTTGGCCACTGTGTGACACAGAGTGTTGGACTAGATGGGCCACTGGCCTGATCCAACATTGGCTTCTCTTACGTTCTTATGTTCTTATGTTCAGATCACATCCTGAGCAGAACATAACTGCTATAATCTTAAAATGTATTTATGTTCACATCAGGGTCACCCTTATATTTATATATGACACAAAATTTCATGTCATCCATTGTATGATCGAATTCTACAAAACGTTCAGTGAGAGGCGCTTCCATAATTACATTCTTTATGTGGGAACGATGTTCCAAAATTTGAACTTTAACAGGACAGGTGGTACTCCCAACACAGATTTTTTGACAGGAGCAGATCACCACATAGATCACGTTCCGGGAATTATAACTAGTAAAGAATTTCAGTGGTACTGAAAACCCCGTGCCAGGTGGGGTAAACCCCCGTGTTTCTAACGCCAGAGAACATACCAAACACCCACCACATCAATAATGTGGCAATGGGCAGTGCAAGACCCTGTGAGGCTCCAGACTGCTGCTGAGCAAGGCTCCCTGTGCTAATGAGCGAACGCTCACACGCACAGCTTAGAGGGATCGCCGATCCTAATGGCTTGACAAAGGGATTAGACAAATTCAGAGGTATATTAATAACTGTGGAACCTCCACCTTCAGAGGCAGTATGCCTCCAATTCCAAGAAGCTTTGCTGTTTCTGTTCAGTCGCACAGTCAAGTCCGACTCTTTGTGACCCCCTGGACCATATCACGCCAGGCCCTCCAGTCTTCCGCTGTCCTCTGGAGTTTGCTCCGGAGTTTGCTCAGTTTAATCTTCAATTGTGGTTTGTTGTTGTGGTTCAGTCGCACAGTCGAGTCAGACTCTTCGCGACCCCATGGACCATATCACGCCAGGTCCTCCTGTCTTCCACCATCCCCCAGAGTGTGTTCAACCCCACATTCGCTGCATCAATAACACTGTCTAACCATCTTGTCCTTTGCCGTCCCCGTCTTCTTTGACCTTCAATCTTTCCCAGCATCAGGGTCTTCTTCTCCAGGGAGTGCTCCCTTCTCATTGGGTGGCCAAAGTATTTGAGCTTCAGTTTCATTATCTGGCCTTCCAGGGAACAGTCAGGGTTGATTTCTTTTAGGATTGACTGATTTGATCTCCTTGCAGTCCAAGGGACTCTCAAGAGTCTTCTCCAGCACCATAATTCAAAAGTATCTATTCTTCGGCGCTCGGCCTTCCCTATAGTCCAATTCTTGCAGCCATACATTACTGCTGGGAATACCATCGCTTTGACCATACGGACTTTTGTTGGCAGGGTGATGTCCCTACTTTTTATTATGCTGTCTAGGTTTGCCACAGCTTTCCTCGCAAGGAGCAGGCATCTTTTAATTTCATGGCTGCAGTCACCATCTGCAGTGATCTTGGATCCCAGGAACATGAAGTCTGTCACTGCTTCCATGACTTCCCCTTCTATTTGCCAAGGAGTGATGGGCCCGGATGCTATGATCTTAGTTTTTCTGATGTTGAGTTTCAAGCCAACCTTTGCAACTCTCCTCTTTCACCCTCAGCAAAAGGCTCTTTAGGTCCTCTTCACTTTCTGCCATTAGAGTGGTGTTATCTACATATCTGAGGCTATTTCCCGGCAATCTTAATTCTGGTTTCTGATTCATCCGAGATGCTAGGGACGAACAATAAGGGAAATCAAACCTGACTGCTCCCTGAAGATTAAATATCTTGGCCACCAAATGAGAAGGGAGCCCTCACTGGAGAAGACCCTGATGCTGGGAAAGGCTGAAGGTCAAAGAAGACGGGGACGCCAAAGGATGAGATGGTTAGACGGTGTTACCGATGCAACAAACATGAAACCGAGCAAACTCCAGAGGACAGCGGAAGACAGGAGGGCCTGGCGTGATGTGGTCCATGGGGGCGCGAAAACTCGACCGTGCGACTGAACAACAACAATTACCTTTGAAGACCCTGCTTCTTTGAAGAGGCAGGCTAGCCTTTGCTGGACACAAAATCCTGAACTAGGTAGTGCAGGGTGCCCGTGGGAGCCATGACGCCCACCAATACCTTTCCTGCTGCTCCCCTAGTGCTTTTAGAAAGTGGGTGTGGCTAGGTGGGGCTTTTGCCCAGCAGGGCTTCTGATTGGCTGTGTCGATTAAAAGGCATCCTGTCAAACAGAACTTCTGCCTGAAACGTTGAAGAGTTTGCAGAGTTTGAGAGTTATATATAACATCGACTCCTGATGTGTTGTGGTTGGCTGTGCCTCCCGCAGCAGGCATTGTGTGACTGGCTCCCTACTGCAGCAGCCACTTTGTGGTTGTGCCCACTGCCCCGTGCCTGAATTCCAAACGAAAAAAGGTTTGGGGACCCCTGAGCAATCTCTCTCTGAGCTGTGGAACCTTGTAAACAAAAATTCTACTTTGTGAGCTACCGGCATTAAAGATGCAATTGAGCGATTTGGCTGCTGCATAAATTAGTTTGCTCTGGAGCCCTCCTTCCTGAGCTGAGACAAAAATGTGTGAGCCGAAGGCTGAAAAACTGTGAGCTGGCTCATACGATCTCAGCTCAGAGGGAACACTGCCCCTGCGTTACTGCTTTAGACTGATCCAAGGCTTGCCATTTTTAGCTTGTTCTGACATGACAGTCCAGGCCAAACGGCCACAGCCCGAAACGAAACAAAATCTAGCAGGAGGGAAGGCCCCGGCTGCCAACTTACTCGTTGACGAGTCTGTCGCAGATCTCGCTTGGCAGGAAAATGTCCGGATGGAGCCGGAGGGTCTCGTTGTCCAGCAGATAGCAGAGCGTCCCTTCCAAGTTGTGCAGACAATAATCCGTACACAGCGTCATGAGCGACTCAGGGCTGTCGGAGGCCATCGTGTGGCAACAGACAGGGAGAAGGGGAGAAAGGGAGGGAGGGGAATGTGGGGTGAAGGAACACTTCTTTCGTCTCGAATTCACTCTCCTTGCTCCACGGTGATTCTGAATGGGATTGACAGCAGTGCCAGGAGAACTACAGGAAGATGCAAGAGAAACAATCGGGAACTTTGAAATCAGCTAAGAACGGAGGTTTCCAACACTATGTTCCCCCCCCCCGCCTGTCCACCGGTAACCAAGGCAACGCCCACTTCAACTGCCCCACAGGGAACACAAGAAAGGTGTGTGGTCTTGGGTAGGTAAAACCCCAACCCTACCCAAGGTGTTTGAAAATGCACAGATTAAGAAAGACAGGGAAGCAACAGCTATGTGAGGGGGAAAGAAAGGGCCATCTCGTCAGTTTCTGGCTCCACCGACCAATGCCAAAAGTTGGACCAGGGTGTGTTGGGGTGTGTGTGTGAGACACAGGAAACCGGTAGGAAGTCAACTTCATCCCCATGATGATAATGGTGTATTGGTTTACATCTTGTCCTTCCTTCAAGTTGAACACTTTCAGTCAATTCTCTCTCTAGAGCAGGGGTGTCGAACTCATTTGTTATGAGGGTCGGATCTGACATAAATGAGGCTTTGTTGGCACGTGTGTCATAAAATGGAATGCCGGTAGCGGAGATGTTAACTTTATAAAGGACAGAAATGCAAAGGGTTTTTTTTTAACTTAAAATAAAAACATCAGGGGTTTAAGAAAGACAGGGAAGCAACAGCTATGTGAAGGGGAAAGAAAGGGCCATCTCGTCAGCTTCTGGCTCCATCGACCAATGCCAAAAGGTGGACAAGGGTGTGTCGGGGTGTGTGTGTGAGAGAGACACAGGAAACAGGTAGGAAGTCAACTTCATCCCCATGATGATAATGGTGTATTAGTTTACATCTTGTCCTTCCTTCAAGTTGAACACTTTCAGTCAATTCTCTCTCTAGAGCAGGGGTGTCGAACTCATTTGTTATGAGGGCCGGATCTGACATAAATGAGGCCTTGTTGAGCTGGGCCACGTGTGTCATAAAATGGAATGCCGGTAGCGGAGATGTTAACT